ACGTATGAAATTGTACGAATTAATTACATTTTTTGTACAAGTAAATAAAATATAAGTAAATAAGGTAATATAAAAACGTGCAAATGAAAATTCAATTATTTTCCTACTAAAAGTTACTTTGAAACGTATGATAACTTTGAAAAATTCCGATATTTCTCTAATAGTGTAACTTAATCAATCAACAAATCAAATAATGCTACGACATTTGATTTATCAATACAGTGATATCATTCTCAATTTTCACCAAGAAAATTTACATGCTTCTGGTTAAATTAAAAAAAAAAACACAATGAAACAAGCAACAGAGTCCCCTCGTTTTAATTAATGAAGTAAGGAAGAAAAGGCGTTACGTAAATAACGGTAATAGTTGCAACGAATTTTTCCATTCGAATAGACGTGTAACTTTGCTGGCAGAGTGACAATATTAATTGGATATATCGTCGTTAAGTTTCCGCGGCGATAACAAGGTTGAAACGAGCGCAAAGTGGTACCGAATGAACAAATTAACGATAAAACGAACAAATAACGGTTCTTCGATGCTTCTTGTTGTCATTTCACGTATTTGTGTACGTTTTGCTTTTTCATTATAAATTCTCTTCTCTCAAATTCGCTTTCAACACACGCGTATAAAATCTGAAGGAACCTCTCTGCGGCTAAAACGTCGAATGTCATTTTCTGCATTGTGGCAGCCGGAGAGTTTTTCCCCTTCCTTTTTTTTTTTTTTTTTTTTTCTAGCGAAGTGTAACCACGACATTTGGAAAGTAGAAGTTTCAGGAATGCACCAGGATGCTAGCGTGGCTAACAAGCGAGTATTACTCGTTTGTGATAGTTTGGATGTGCGCTTGAATGTGTGACTACGAAAGTTCTTAAGGGTAATTAAAGAGTTTTTAGCGAGAGTCTAGAAGGAAAGTTTAGCGGAAGAGTTGGTAAACCAGTGGCAATGAAATACGTATGTGATGAAAGGGGGATTTCCGGTTATGCTGTATCTAATATATTGTCACTTTGTTTATCTTCAATTTACCTTGACTAAAATTAATGTATTAACTGAGAAATTAATCTCGAATTAACTGAGTATCTTAAATATCGCTCAAAATTTGCTTGTACAAATTACGATTTATGATGTCAAGCTGAATCACAAGAATATTTATATAAAATATAAAAAAATCCTCTTTTTGTTCTTCCAAAAGGGAAAATTTTCTTCAAAATATCCAATCGCAGTAACCCACATCACAAGAATTTTCATACAAAATATACCAAAATTCCTATTTCCCGCTTCACCGAACAATTCTTACTCGTCGAATTGTTTTCTTCCAAATATCAAATCGCGAATATCAATATAGAATGTTAAGACTGTCCAACCGTGCAGACACACAAGCCGCCCAATTAAAAATTTTTTAATATCGAACGCTCGACAAAAACAGTGACATACTTCAACGAAGAAGAAAAACCATCGGTATTAAAAATTCCACGACTTTCCCCAAATTTTCTACGAATTCTCCCGTTCCTTCCACGAATTCGCATTACCCATCACCTTGAAAAACATCAAAGCGACGAGATACTCGTCGAACGTCCGCGAAATTCTCAGTGGCCGGTTCCGTGAAGCTCTCGAAGCGTCGAACGGATCGGAGTAGAAGCGAGAAGGGCATACAATTAATCTGAAGTGTTTGCCGCACACCGAGCACGGTAAGAAAAGCGTTTCTGGTGCAGGACGGTCAAGAAAAGAGTGTGCAACGGTGGAGCGGAGAAAAAGGAAACCGTGGTAGAAGAGGCGAAAGGGAGAAAGGCGGCCACGGGGTCGAGGGGCAAAGGAGGCACACCGTGGTTAGATGGGGTGGAGGCGCAGGGATAGCGCGGGAAAACAAAATAAAAGAGGAAAACCGCCGGCAATTTTTCACTAGCTTTTTAAAGCGCGGCTTAGGTACTCGTGGAGCGAGTTTGAATCGATTTTTCCGGAGGGTCCTATTTTTCTGCCGTCTCCTTGTGCTAAGCGACGCGAACTGTATCTACTACTTTCAGCTGTTCCGCCGTCGAAATGCGACTGTTACCCCTAAACTTCGGATCTCCTCCGCGTCCAAGTCCATGATTTTCGAACTTGCTCTACTCCCGTGTCAAATGAATCAGGAATACGCGGTCATGTTCGAGTTTAAGAGTGCCAGTAAATGTCAGGGTTTAAACGAACACCCCTATTTTTGCCGTTCTTCCTGCTTTTTTTTTTTTGGTTTTTCGCAACCATTCTTTCGAGGGCGCGTGTAAAATATCACCTTTCACAATTGAACACGCGTGTACCAGAGATATAAATGTGTTATTCAAGATTATTTCTTGTTGGTTTTTTCGTTCGTACTATCGGATTTACAATTAACTCGAATATTTTGTTTCGTCTCTATGGATTGACTGAAAAATTCCGCGAAACGTAAGCCTATTGCGATATTCTCGATTCCGGCCGATTCCGCGATGTTGAAAAACGTTATTTACGATATTTCACAGTTAAGAGTTCTCGCGCACTTTCGAGATTATCGAGAGTGTTAATGGAAATCCTGCCTAAGCAGCGATATCGGGGGGAATTGGTTTCGTTCGAATGTTATTTTTCCAGAACTTCAATTACAAATTGATAGGAAAAATTGGAGAAAGGGGCGGTAATGCGTATCGGTATAACGATCGAGTGTCTGTGATAAAGTTTTTCGTACGCATTATTTACTGGGGAAATATCGAACAGGAATTCCCATTTTGACAAGAGAGAAAACTGCGATCGCATCGGTGGCGTTGTTTTTTCCTTTCTTTTTTTTTCTTTTTAAAGCGTAAACCTGATTAAATACGGTCCTGTCACTTCGATGCTAAAATATCAGCAAACAGTTAATATCATTTACGATTCAGGCACGGCATCCCAGGTCGTGGTGAAATAATATAATATTTCATGCAGGCGTGATAACAAAGTATACACTTCGGCAAATGTGATCTCGCAAATAAAACCGTGGCGAATATTTAAACAGCGTACGAGAAAAAAAAATCTCACGTTGCGATGATAAATTCAAAATATGCGTGACATCCGCGCCTGCATGAATTTATACTTTGCATACGGCCGCGCCATACGACCGGCGTTTTTTTTCTTCTTTCTTTTTCTTCTTTTTATTATCAGACATCGGGAAATACGCGTCATTCGAGCAATGACTCCGATCACATTCGTTAAATCTGTACATACAGAGAGTCATTTCGTTGACATTAAACACTAATGCCGTCGGTCCTTCCAATTTCATCACTGCCTCCAAATTTTAGGCAATGCATCCATAAATTTTTTTGGATAAATGATAGTACTTTCGTGAAATGGAATTCGCCGAAGAATAACGAAATATTTTTCTAATTTTATTTATTTATATTCTGAATACTAATTTTTAGATGATTCTATGCATTTTTTTTAATTATTCTGTTAGAATTTGTAATGAAAAGTAACGAAGCTTCTGCTTAATACGTTTCCTATTTTACTATTTTAATAAACGTCTGAACATTTCCGGATCTTTATTTGTTACAGAATTTTATAATATTGGAAAGAGATTGAGTAAAATAATTGTTATCTCTTGTAAATGATTGCTTTATAAAGAATGGCTCGTTCAAATTTATAGCTTTTCTTTGTTATAAATTATAGTTTTATTTAACATAATAATTTTAATCGTATCCTAACCTTAATAAATCGAACCTAAGTTTTATACACTTAAGTGCACCTAAATTGTGTTGCTTAAACAGTGAAAAATTTCATTCTGAATTTCAAAAGTGTATTGCTTGAAGAAATGCGTTTAACTCTCTGTTTAAGAGATAATCACACATCGAGAATTTTAATTACACATGGATTTAATTCAAATGCTGTTACTCAATATTTGCGTAGGTTACAGAATGCGTTTAAATTAATCCCATATTTCGTTCTGAAACTATAATCTACAAAACAAAGCAGTGTAAAATTTGTACGTACTGTAGCTTCATAGGATTGAGCATTTAATAATGCAATATATCTCTTAAAAGAAAAATAATTATGATTGTACCTGTAACTTTAAGTACGAATAAAACCCATTTAAGTTATTATTCAAAATCAAACTTCTTGGTAAACACTCGTAAATGTTGTACGATTGCAGTAAAGCACGGTTTATAACTCCTCGTTAGTAGAATAATTAGCTCGCGGTGTTCAAGGATTTGGACTTAGTCGTAATTACGGAAATTAATTTATAACGCGAACGTGACTGAACGGGGCTTAAAAATGTCCCTGCGACTACAGTGGCGAGCTAACAACCTAAACCGATATAAATCAAAAACAGGACATGCTGCATCACACGCGTAGTTCCTAGCGAAACTCATTTCTGTCAAAAAAAGACGTTGAAGTGGAGCTTCCAAGTCAACCAAAAGAACGCAAACTTTTGGCATTTGAAGAATTGATCGTGACTGATTTTTAAAAATTTACTCAGAATAAGATCCAGTATTTGTCAAAGAAACGACTAAAAACTTGTGAATATTTAAATACTCAACTTCTTCCTTTCGACTATTTTTCTATCTTGTAATTTCTTTCAGGTTGAAAAGAATGCAATTTGTTAACCCTATCTCTGGAAATCAATTTCGTTCCCTTAATAAATACAATTGTTCATAAAACAACGTATTTAAATTTTTTTAACAGGGCCACTTTACACACAAATTTCATTATCCTATCCTGTTGCTTTAATTCTTACCAATAAATTTTTGCCAATAAAGCAAGCTAGTAAAGATACCGCGTATCATGTTGACCGTTGCAATTTCAATTTACGACGATTCAAGTATAATGAAATTATAATAAAGGATAATGCACGAAAGGTTTGGAAACCACGACACGGTTTGTTAACGTTGCATGCACGAAAGATCACCGTTCACATTATATTGCTATATTATCACTCGTACACCACGAAGAGGACCGTAAGTCGTCTTTAATGAGCGAGATTAAGAGGACTTACGAGATTTCGCCGAAAGGAGCGAAGGCTTCCCTCAAGGACTGCGTCTCGATCTCTGGGCTCAGATCTCCAACGAATATGTGGTAGTGTTCTGAAAAAGATATATACGAAATTGTTAGAACGTGTCCTTAAAAAATGTCCGGTAGTAATATGGTGTCCCGTAATTTTTCTTGAAACATTTTGAACTTTTACATCGTGTCGCGTAGTTTAAATTACCTATGATTCATATAAAACTCTGATTAAATTTAATCCGTAAATTTAGATTTAACTGAAAAAATGTGATACAGTATTCTACTTATAGAAGTCAAGATTCTTCAAAATTGTAGAATAATTTATTCAATAAAAGCTACCTGCACATTTGCACGATATCTTCCAACAAACGTAAATTGTCATAAATGTGTGTCTCGATGAAACCACAATTTGCAATAACACGAATTAATTTAGATCCGAAATCACCGACGGTCCGGGAATAATTTTAAACTAGAAAATCAGAAGCAAACTATTATTTGCTCCACCTTTAAATATTCAACCTAGTCTTTGCGTTATGGACTTGCTGGAGCCAGCGAGAGAGCGCAAAATTGGACGCGAGGATAAGCATGCTTTCGCTGTTTCTATTAAAATTGCAAGAGTAATTTAGCCCCGCTAGTTTCGCTAGACACATTAGATAATATTCCGTGTATTCTAACAATGCGCCCAACTGTTCTTGCTTTGTTACGGAAGCTGTGAAAGAACGCTGGAATAACGGCACGGCGTCGCATTATTTCGGTAAGAATCTTCAATAGAAACGAAAATCGCCAACCCGAATTCTGCCGAGTAAAAATAAGTGAACATCGAAAATATCTTTTCATCGAACATTTAAGAGCCGCCGAGTTTGTTAAACAAACCGAAACTACCAAAAGCAATATTTAAAAAGCAGTCGTTAAGTCGAAAGTCATTTTTACCTCGTTACTTTGCAATAATTGAAAGTACATACTAAAAATGGTAAGAGGACAGTTTGAATACATCCAAGACTTGTTTACCTTCGATTTTTACCTATAAATATCACATCATGAAGTAATGACTTTTATTACGAACTAAACAGTGTTCACTTCGTAATAATTCTTCAAATGAAAATTTGCGCTACTTAGATCACTCGTTTAACTATGCTGTAATCTGCTAATACCCAACACGTGAAAAAAAAATGTATCTGTATACCTGTTCCATTCTCGAAGTAAGCAAGCACTCCGGTTATGTTTGTACAAACGAAAAAAACAACGAATAAGCTATCTGGATCAAATCCAGCAAACATCATAAAAATAGGAAATATGTAAATAAAGTAACGCACTATGTAGCAAAGGGCGCCATACAATTCGATTAATTGGCTCTGCCTTGCGGGTTGAACGAAACCTCGTTACAATCGAACAATTAGTATTATAGACAAACATGTTTCTCCGATAAAATTGACCAACGGCGAAAAATACACATACACTTTGATTCTGATATCGCGGTTGGTGGTTAGAACGAAGGGAATAAGATTACGCGAGTACAGCAATGGCGAATGAAACGAACGGACAACGCTCGATATTAAATTAAGCGCGAATTGCTATTAAACAGGTCTCGGTATAAGTGGGTACGATACGAATAATCGTGGATGCACGCGTTGTCTAGCTAAAACACAGGAATACATTATCGAAATTTGCGGATAAGTTAGCATAACCGTTGTGTACGTAGAGCAACGGTTAGGTGTACACGCATATTAAAGACGGGCCGGGCTCAGCGCTGACTCAGACGAGATTGAAAACTGCACCCTTCAACGAGTTATGGTTCCATCTTTAACGTGAAGCTATGGAAATTTTGTAAGGCAATATATAATGTTTGTGCCACCAAGCAGGAAAGACGCAGTAAAACCGTCGATTTAGTACAGCGGCACACGGTTGTTCCTGGGGTTCGCTGAATATGCATTTTGCTGCCGCGAAATCTGGTTCGTTTACTCTATCCCTAATTGCTCCACTTTGCTCCACAGTTTTAAGGTACATTCCCCGTTTCTACTATTGACGTGCCGGTTTGTTGACCCCATTTGCATTTTTTCTCGTCGCCGTCTGTCCGCAGTAGACCTTTACGAGACTGTACCCAACTTGAACACACGAATTTCAATTCGATCAAAAGGGAACTCGATCATCCGGTTGGTTAGGTCGATACGATTCCGTTGTTTCTAAGGGAGAGGGAGAGAGATTCGAAAGGGGAGGAAGCCCTTTTGCGGCTAAATTGGCTATCGATCTGCATACGCGATACCCACTGACGGACAGATGGGCTAACGTAACACCCGAGACAATCTTTCGTTCACGCCTGAATAGGATAGATCGTAAACGGGATATCAGCTCGATAAACATTTTCTCCATGTCAATCTGCCTCTGCCTTTCCTCTTTCTCTCTCTCTGTTCCTACCTATCTTTTACTCTTTTCATCACCTCCCGCGGGGTTATTTGAGAACGAGTAGGTCAAGATGAGTGGTCGAAAATCGAGTTACTGCTATAGGGAGGTCTCCAACACCAGGCGTCAGTTACTACCGAGTATTCCACAGGAGGAAAGTATAGAAGGCGAAGGTAGGTGTGGGGCAGCTGGAAACGGAGGGTGGTCTGATTACAATCGGTTTGATGGTCTATCCTCCCTGGTCGGAGGTTCCGGTGGGCACACACAGTGGCCCATTCTCGTGAATTAGTCCGAACCTCGTAATTCTCTCATGCATCAAAAACTGAGTCTGCGATCGATTAGGGAGTTCCCACTCTGCGTCATCAAATCGCATTCCCGCTGATGATTAATTACAAAAGCGTAGAAAAGAAAGAATTATATTCAAAACGTAATATCTTGATTTGCAAACAATTACAATTTGGCGACAGCAGGCAATAGCAGGCGATAAAGATAAATCGTTGTACAGTAAATTCTCTACAAGAGTCAGTAAGTTTGGATTCTACAAGTGACAGTATAGATGATCCTACGCCTAGGTCTGCGTCATTGCTGCGCCCATGTTATCTCGCTCGCATTCATTCAAGCGTGTAACACTACACCACTCGGTTTCCTTTACGAGATTACACGGCTCCACAAATCATGATAGAAAAATATGATTTCTTTAATTTTACTTTTTTTCATCTTGAATTTCTTTTAACATGTTGGTGAGATTTTTCTGATGAAAATGATATCAAACACGATATAATTTGAACAACATTTACTTATTAACACGTTCACTGTCGCGCCAGATTTACAGGTTGCTGTCAGGCGGCCACAAGAAAATACATTTTAAGCATAGGATTATAGTATTATGCTTTATAATTTGTTTTTTTCAATTGGGGTCCTTATATACCTGCGGTACCCTCTCCCCAAAGTCATTAGCAAAATCGTCGGTTAGGTCAGGCGGGAAATTTTCGCGGGAAATTTTCGCGGGAGATTTCCGCGGGAGATTTCCGTTATCGTAACACGGTATAATTTATCAATTTTCACAATTTTGTTATAAATATATCCTTCCGACAATTTTTTATAACATTGCATATAACAATTTATACGTTTTTACAATATTCTTCAATGGAAACATAGGTTTTAGCGTTCTCGTTACTTACTCGTGGTTAAATTAATTTTGTAGGGATTAAAAATCAGGTTGACCTGTGGTCGTAGATTAAAAATAACCATAGTACAGCTAAATTTATCGTGTTAAATAATTCTTCTTACACGAATCACGAATGTATTCAACGTTTGTTTGTTATAATATCGTGAAATGAATTATTTGTGCAGTTCTGTGCATTTTCTGTGCAGTTCAACCTAATTTACTTAAATTTACATTGCGAGACAGTACACGGTAACAAGTAGTAACAAGCAAACGTTGAATGAATTCCTAATTCGTATTAAAAAAATTATTTAACACAATAATTTCAGCTTTATTGTGATTATTCTTGATAAATGACCACACGTCAACTTGATTTTTAATCGTTATAATCTTTAAATTCAGTGTGAATAGAGAAAATGTGTAATACAATTCATTTTCAAACGTAGTCCCTGACTCTACGAGTGTCAGGTTTAGCTTCCTTGCGGTCTGACACTTGTGGAGAATATACTGTAAGGGTCTATTCGACAAGTGTCAGTAAAATGTAGGGTCGATTCCACTAGTGACAGTACAAGTGTTACTGTACTTTGTCCAGTTTGGTGGAGAATACGGTTTAAATGCAATGGAAGTTTACCTGTGTTTTTCTGAATTTCAAAAATTCAGGCAGAATTGTAAATATTATACTGTCTCGCAACGTAAATTTAAGTAAATTAGGTTGAACTACACAGAAAAAACAAACGAACGCAGCATAACGTGTAATTATAATTGTTATGACATGTAAATAGAACGATAAATTTAGTGTAAATATAGAAAACGTATAATATAATTTATTTCGTGGTATTGTAACAAGCAAACGTTGAATGAATTCCTAATTCGTATTAAAAAAATTATTTAACACAATAATTTCAGCTTTATTGTGATTATTCTTGATAAATGACCACACGTCAACTTGGTTTTTAATCGTTATAATCTTTAAATTCAGTGTGAATAGAGAAAATGTGAAATAAGATTCATTTCACGATATTATAGCAGACAAACGTTGAATACCTGATCGAGGAGTCCATCCGCACTTCTCCTGGTAGGCGACAGCCGAATAGTCCAGCCGATCTCTCCATACCACCAGAAGTACTACGCAATCCTCTCCGAGATTCCTCAGGCGTCCGGGTAACCTCCCTGTACTCTCTTCTCTCAGAGGCGACCGGCGGATAGTCCAACGTTCTTTCCATTCCAGGAGCGACCCAGGTATAGCTCTCGTACTCTCCTATCGCAATATTCAAGCGATACGCGTATGATCGGAGAGTCCACCCGCACGTCTCCTGGTAGGCGACCGGCGGATAGTCCAGCAGTCCTCTCCATACCACCAGAAGTACTACGCAATCCTCTCCGAGTTATTAATTACGGTAAACTACTGAGACGGTTTAATTAAGGGTGGGCATGGTGCTGCTTTAGTTTGAAATGATTTATAAACACATAATTAACAGAGGAAAAACCGTGAAACGGCAAAACGTCTACATTCTAATT